AAAATATGTTTGTGTATTTTGTAAACATTTATACACAAAATTGTATCTTAAATTTCGTTACATAAATTAAGGGGCAAAAGGCAACTTCTATAATTTTATAAACAAATACTAATAATGACATTATATGACAACAGATTTTATAAAAGAATAACGATTCAATAGGGTGAACAAGAACAAATAAAATTGTTTTTTGTTTCTCATATCAATGAATAAATATATACTCTAAAAATCAAATTCATATTAGTATAACATGTTAACAGAATAATATATTGATGAACATGTTAGCTTTATGACTAAAATAAACATTACTGATCAAAAGATGTGGAAGATGATATAGAAGTAACATTACTTATAAAATGGTATAAATCGTTCTCTCATCGTCTACCAGTTATGATATAAATCGTTCTCTCGTCGACTGCCACACTAACTTATTTAATATATGTATTGCATCGCACGTGTCATGCACTAGTTAGTTTAACATCTTAAGACCCTAAATTAATGTGTCAACCGAATATTAACAATAATTATACATCAGTTGGGACAAAGGCAGACAGCCAAATATTCAGGAGAATAATTAAAAAGATATTATGGTATCTCCTGTTATTTGTTCACTAATTTACTTTTTTTTTTACTTCTTCAAGATGTGCACAGCACATAGTATTGTTTCGAAAAATTGGAAACATGGAGACTTTCAATTAATTATTAATAATTAGTTGAATTAATAATTTTAACGAACTAGATAAACAGAATTATTAGATGAATTATTAGTTGTTTGATAAGTAAAAATAACTAAATTACAGCCATTTATTAAAACAGTTTTAAATATTTTGCACTTTTTCAAAATTAATTAGCTCACTGAATAAAAAAAAATTATTCAAATCGTTATTTACCAGATAATAAAATTACACGTTCTGAATCTGACAGATCAGACTTTTAATTTACACTCAATTATGTGAGTTGATGAACATTATTAAATTAAAGTTGATGTAATATATCCGAACGGTTGATTGATTTTACTTAATTAAATTGATAATATTGAAGATAATGAGGTTGAGTTATATTTGAATTAAAAAAAATGATTGAGTAAAAAAGACTGATTTTTTTTTTTTTTTTTTTTTTAGATAAAATATAGGGGAGATGCTACGGTCCCGTTACGGAACTATTCAATCGGGATTCGTAACCGTATCATCATGTAATCGTCGGGGATAGTTGATCTAACGGTTACAAATTATGACGGAATAGTTCCATAACGAGACCGTAACATCCTAATATAGTTTGTTATTTCAATATTAAAATTAATTATTAGAAAAACCGTTGAATCTTATTCCCTCTTTTTTTTTAAATGTCATTCTAGTTTAATCAACTATTTGCAAAATAAATGTCGTTTTGGATCTTTTGTACATATTTGTCTATTATTACCCTCATTTAGCCAATAAATACATTACGTCTTTTCATATTCACTCTTCATTTTTTCTCAAAACATTCATCTCTATCTTCATTAAATAAGATTATTATTGACAAAAAAATATTTTTAATTAATGTGCAACTTATCAAAACGACATATATTAAAAATAGGAGCTGGTATTGTTCTCTTTCAAGTCTCTTTGTTTTTTCTTTCCAAAAATTATAGGTATGCTTTGAGAATTTTAAAAAAAAAAATGATGCAATAACTATTGCTTACCGTTGACCAAGTGGAATGACTCAACACGTGGCGTAATTTATCCACAAAGTCAATAACATAATATAAAGGTGAACAAAAAGTCAATTCATTTCCCACCATTAAAATTTTATATAATTTTTTTAATGTATTTCATTTAGTCACCGTGTTTGTTGATAATCATATATTTCCTTTGCTCCTATTATTTAAATGAAATGAAATAATGTTTTGTGCGCGCCTCAATAATTATTTTACTTGGGTATAAAATAATAGTGAAGTATAACTTATTGAAAAGTTGTCAAATATTTATTTTAGTATTGAAAAACTTTTAAGACATAATATAAAATAAACACCATGTATTATATATATACTAATTAAACTTTTCATACCTTAAATAAAAAACATAGTTTATTGTTTTAAAATTTTAATTAAAATAAGAAATTGCTGCATGGTTCATATAATATAAAATAAGAAATTCAAAAATCAAACACTCACTCGCAACTAATACTAATAATCGGATTTATTATTAGATCAAGAAGTCAAAGCGCTCAATTAAGAAAAATTACACACGTTTCAAGTTTACTGGGGACCACACAAATTTTACAATTGTTTGTGCCAACATAAATGTTAAGGAGCAACAGGGGTAGAATGGTCAACACAATGAAAATTATAGCCTATAGTATAACTTAACCATTTTTCTATAAGTAAAATTTATGGTTTTACTAGAACACCCTATGAAAAATAATAAGATGATCAAAATAGGTAAATTATTTTAAAATAAGTAACTTGAGTTATCAGTTACATGATCGTATACAAACATGGTCGCATCTGTTGTATGTGTGTTGGCACGTGAAAATTGCAACAATCTGACATCGTACATGCATAACACACTCTACACATCGACTATTTAAAACATTTCGGGTAGCGTTATGCTCACACTTGAAAATCCCACACGAACCTCTCAATATGAAGACCACTCTACACACACATTGGACAATTTATGACCTTGTAACATAGACATTGTTCAATTTGACAGTTAAAAAAGATATAAATCGCTTGGAATGCTTTTTTCAGCGAGCATTGCTTTCCGATTATCATTCTTAGGAGTGATGATTTTGCAAAATAAAACAAACGTATATGTTAAAAAAATAAATCTAGTGATACACAACTTTTTTTACTCTAATATGTAAGTTGTAGAATAAAAAGAGACAATATTCAAAACCAACTATCACTCCCA